TTGTAGGGCACTAATAATGTTCCTTCTGGCTGTGGTACCTGCAGCGTTGATCTTGGTCTTCAAGGTCCTCACTATATTGGGACCATCTCCAGATTTTCTGTGTTTATTAACCCTCAGCTGGACAGCTTGTCTGAGGCAGTGGAACCAAAAGTGAAGATGGTAAGGGGTTTCTGTTGTTTTACCTGTTTGGGCCAATAGAAGAGTGAAAGAGAGAATGATGATCCAGATCAAAATGTAAAAAACAAGGTTTATCTGTCCTTATGTGAAGGCAGCAGATATCTACTTGGCCTCCCCCATTCAAAATAATTGTGCCTACTTTCTGCTGGTTTGGGTCATCAGTTTTGTATTAAAATTACTGAAAGATGTCTTACTACATATAGTTTACTTGTGGACTGCATTTTTATTGCTCTAATTTTGTTTAGAGGAAAGACATCATATGCATTTATTTAATTTACATAGAAATCTTCCCAAAATAGTTTTGCAAAGAACAGGGTAGATCAAATCTCTCAGTGACTAGGTATTTAAATGAAGACATGAGAGTATTACTGATTTATGACTAAAAGTGTTTCAACTTAACTGCTCTTCAATAACACCCATAAAAAATGATATTAAAGTATGAAGAGTCATTTAAAAGATGAAGACTACCGAGAATAGTTCTATATACTTTTCTGGTTCTCTACTCTTTGCTTCTAATCCTTAATCCTACGTATGCACACAACTGCTAAATAAATGTACTGCTAAATAAATGTAAATGAGGGACTAAATACAATATTCCAGAAACAAAAAGATAGTTATGCAATAAATGAAAGAAAAAATTAGATAACAAATATATATTTGGAAAAATGTTAAAATTGCCATTCTGTACACTTTGAATATATGTATTTAAAAAACAACATGGAATTTTGTTATGAGAATTTAAGATAATTTTTAGAGAACATACATATTTGAAAAAGCAACATGATATTTTGTCAACAGAGTGTACAATAATGTTGAGTTGAATGGATACTTTCAACTGAAGGGGGAATAAAAAGCTATTTTAACAGCTTATGGGTATTAACACTACCAGCTCCAAATTAAGCATACATTAATGGAATGGCATTATTCTGCTACATTCAGTATTTAAAATATCTTTCCAAGTATTATGTGCAGTGTAATAGATCATATATAGAACATAGGATATTTTAGGGGAATACCTAACTGTGATATTAACACTGTATTTGGGTTAAAGGATGCAAAAAACATTGTTAAAAATTATATGGTATCAATGTTCCTCATAAAAGGACATATTTCAGTCTTTTTCAACAGACTGATAGAAATATAATGCTGTTAAGCTCCCTAGAGTTTCAAGCACAATGTAGAAGGAAGGTAATTTACAAAAATAAAATAAGATCTATTTAAATACATCTCAAAAAACAAAGATATTCCCAAGAAATGGTCATATATGCCTTTCACAAAGTCTTACATGGTTCATCCTGAGTTTGAAGCAGGGAGTAGGAATTTAATAAAACATGTCATTTAAAACTATATATTATGTCATTCTAAAGCAAACGTTTAACCCAGTTTAAAGTCCCAACCACCAGAATTCCATATACAATAGTACCATGTATCCAGCTAGGAAGTAGCTGGATTCGGTGCCGTCTAGTTGCACCTTCACACCACAAGCACATAAGTACAGTTAATATCTAAGCTTTCAGCAAGAGTATCAGTTACCCTAAAAGTTACCTTCAAGATTAAATACCTTTAAATGCTGCGGCACTCTGGATTTCCAGTTAACCAAACTATATTTCCAGCAGAAACTCATGGAGTATAGAGTAGTTCTTGTCTGCAAGCCCTTCCTGCTGGTCTTCTTAGGAAGCGGTGCTGGAACGTTTTATTTTTTTTAAATCCTGTTGATAATTTGACTCTCTGTCAACTAGTGCTGTCGACCCATCACTAGCCTTTCTTAGGATGGAGATGACTGGAAGGTTGAAGGGGTACAGGCCATACATCATCTTCCCTTTCTCCGTGTACCTTAGTATGAACAAGGCATCAGGACTCTGAGGAAAGGAGGGAGAGCTGAGCCATCATATATTCCACAGATTGCAGGCTTTCCCTCTGTCCTGCAGTGCTGGAGAAGGGGATTATTGCTGCAGGAAAAAAAATCTGGCCACACTGTAGAAATAATCACCGCAGTTCAGCTCGCCCCCCACCTCCCTCTGTTCTCTCTCTCTCTCTCTCTCTGTCTCTCCCTCTCTCTCTTTCTCTCTCTCTGTGCGAGGCCCCAGCTGATTCAGGCTGCATCCATCCATACATAAATCATTCCCCTTATTCTATTGGTTACATGGTACATGGCAAGTATTGATTTTTTCCGTTGCCTCATTGCTGGAGAACACTTGGTTTTTGTGAGACAGAAAAAGAGAAAAAAAAAAAAAAAAAGACCAAACCAAAAAAAAAAAAAAAATCCTCACTGGAGTTTAGTCTAGATAAAAAATAATCAGGCAGATTTGTACCATCCTAACGACAAGCGTGTTCCAAAAAGAGCATACTTTGGGGAGGCCCTTTCCTATCTGTTTGCATGTTCTTCTGTCTCAAAATAAAAAAAACTGTTCCCAGTTAAGAAGAGCTCTGGGTTCAGGAATTAAGAACAGCATACAGAGAGGGAGACGGTCTCTCATTGTGCAGGGCAAGGAGCCATCTAATTGATCACCGTTAAACCAGGAAAAAAAGAAAGTTTAGTTAAAACACAGCTTGCTCTAAAAACAAGAATAAGGAGGCAAGAATAATGCCTCATGGCCAAATGACATGTATGGGACAGGAAGAAAGATATTTCTCTAGGTTTATTTTGTGTGGTGATAAAATGTGCAAGTGTGCCTTGTTTGTGTGAAATGTAAATATAGAATGTGCCTCAGCTGTCAAAATATTGTGTCTTCTCATACTCAGAGATAAGACAGAGCTAAAAAGGTGAATTGGTCTTAGTTTAGGATTCTGACAGAGTGTTCTTCAGAACTTAAGTTAAAACACCCAAGAGTCTTAATGTATGACTTGTCACAAAGACCAGTTTGTTTTAAAGTGATAGTGGCTCTTGGACTCAATCCAAAGGGGTTTTATTTCTGAAATATCAAAATGATTTCTTCATGAGGTAATTCGATCCAAAGAATCATTCCAATATACAAGGAGATTGTTGTAATGAGGAAATCATTATAAGAAGGTTATAGAGCAAATATAAGGAGTGAAAAGACAGTAAAAAGCCCAATTTTCATTTTGTAAACCTATGTGACAATTGATAATCTAACAAAGGGTGAAGTTTAGGAACAAACACAGTTCAGCATGTACACAGGTGACAGGATATTTTCTTTTGGGTTCTACTTAGAGTCATCAACTAACAAATGTACCATGCACCAGTTGCAGATGAGAAGTAGTAAGGGCTTCTTTAACCTACTTTAAGGTTTAAAAGAATTCCTCCTAACCCAAAATATTTACTCTGCACAATAAAAAGAGTCTATTAAGTTAAACTGTCACTAACCTCAGAAGTCAGACTAGGATTTTTCCTCTTTTGCCTCACAAAACTGTGCTGGGGAATTCTTTTTGTTCTTTTCATCTGTCAATTTACTTTGTGGCCATTGGTGCTTGGTTCATGTTTATGATAGGGTCTGCTCAATAGAAGATTCTGTGGAGCGGAGCTGCAAGGGGCATGTCCATGGGAGTTGTGGCCAGCCCATCCGGGTGTGTGGCCCTTCTGGGCACAGAATAATACGTCTCTTTCTTCTTATTGTTAAGTTCATTTTATTGAAGGACTCCAAACATCTCTTCTTGTATAGAAGTACTAGTTTATCTAACTTGCCATTTCAAGGGAACCTCTGTGAATGAAAATGTGGAAGGAGTGAGACCTGCATGGAATTTTATCCAAATTAATGTTTTGTTGTGTTGTTTTGTTTGTGTGGCTCTTATCCTTTTGGGTTCCAATTTAGATGCATGTTCTCTCAGTAATCTCATACCCACATACCAAGGAGAGTAAGATGCCTCTCTACCTTCCTACATGGTAAAGGAGTCCATAAAGGACTTAGAGCATTTTAGATTTAAAAGGGAAACAGACAAGAAAATAACAACAAAAGCTATAGGAAACCCTTTGAACCTGACCTCTTCCTTTTCTCTGCTTCATCCTTTCCTGATCCAACAACTTGAGCAACTGTTTATTGACCACTTACTGTGGACCAGGGATTCGCTAGAGCGAGGGGAGTCTGCCAAGCTAAATGCTGGTGCCCTATCCCAGCGCAGGGACCTATCCCAGCAAACATCCTGTGTCCAGGCTGCTGCCCAGCAGAGGCGCGTCTCTCACGCGTCTCTCTGTAGGCCGCTTCTCTAGAAAAGTCATATAATTACATTAAGTATTAATACCCTTTTATCTCCATTAACTGTAACAAGACTTAAGTGGCCAATACAGAGCCTTGCCTATAGCACATACTCAACAGGAATTTATGTTAATTTGAGACACTGTCAGTCCGAAAGGAGAGAGAATTATAATCAAAGCTAATGATTATTACGTGGTGAGGGGATTAAATGCACTGTCATGTAATTTTCACGACCCTGTTTCTAAATAACCTTATTTTATTCCCATTTTAAAGATGAGGAAATGGAGGTGGAGACAGGTCAAGTGAGCTGCCCAAGCCTGCCCAGCTGCTAAATGGGGGAATTGGGTTTGAGACTCCTGCTTCTCTTACACACCACTCAGTCTAGAGGAGCAGTGGCAGCTGGCAGAGGCCCTTAAATTCCAGCTGGGAGTCTTTTGAGAGAGGTTATGACCAGGAAATGGCTTCTGTGCTGGCCCTAAAGCATGTTGCATTCCATAATTTTTATACCTTATGGGTATGCTTTGACTCACCATAAAAAAAAAGGAAACATATTTAAAATCTTCTAGTGGGGATTACTATTAGGAGGAGTTTGTGTGTGTGTGTGTGAACCCTTTTGAACGTAAATATATCTTTTAAATACAAAAATGTTTATCCTTTAAATTGTCTGTTAAGGCAGGTCTGGACATTCATGGATGGACTTTACCTAAGGTGAGGCTCACCTGTGGAAGTGACAGTGGCAGGCCCCAGCGAATGGGAATCCCAGGCAGAATTCAAACACTGCCTCTGAGCAACAGTGACTCTCCATGGCAAGTGGCAGGTATGCTCATTTGAATTCATAGGTTTTCTTTTTTTTTTAATTTATTATTATTTAAAAAATTTATTTTGTCATTTCCTTTTTTACTAAAGTATAGTTGATTTACAACATTATATTAGTTTCAGTTGTACAACATAGTGATTCAATATTTTATAGATTATACTCCATTTAAAGTTATTGTAAAATATTGGGTATATTCCCTGTGCTGTACAATATATTCTTATAGCTTATTTACTTTATACATAGTAGTTTGTACCTCTTAATTCCCTACCCCGTCTTGCCCCTCCCCCATTCCCTCTCCCCACTGATAACCACTAGTTTGTTTTCTATATCTGTGAGTCTGTTTTGTTATATTCATTTGTTTGTTGTATTTTTTAGATTCCACATATAAATGATAACATACAATATTTGTCCTTCTCTGTCTGATTTATTTCACTAAGCATAATAGCCTCTAGGTCCATTAATGTTGCTGAAAATGGCAGGATTTCATTCTTTTTTATGGCTGAGTAGTATTCCATTATCTATATCTATATCGATATCTAGCTATATATATATCACATATTCTTTATCCATTTATCTGTTGATGGACACTTAGTTTGCTTCCATATCTTGGCTATTGTAAATAAAGCTACTATGAACATTGAGGTGCATGTATCTTTTCAAACTAGTGTTTTCTTTGGATATATACCTAGAAGTGGAATTTCTGGATCATATGGTAGTTTGTTTCTTTTTTAATTTTTATACAATGTTTAGAGGTTACTTTCTATTTACAGTTACTACAAAATATTGTACAATACATCCTTGAACCTATCTTACACCCAATACTTTGTACCTCCCACTTCCCGACCCCTATATAGCCCCTCTCCACCCCACTGGTAACCACTTGTTTTCTATATCTGTCTGCTTCTTTCTGTTATATTCACTAGTTTGTTGCAATTTTTAGATTCCATATATGTGATATCATACAGTATTTATCTTTCTCCACCTGACTTATTTCACTTAGCATAATGTCCTCCAAGTCCATCCATGTCGTTGCAAATGGCAAATTTTCTTTTTTATGGCTGAGTAATATTCCACTCTGTGTGTATATGTGTGTGTGTGTGTGTGTGTGTGTGTGTATCACATCTTCTTTATCCATTCATCTGTTGGTGAACACTTGGGTTGTTTCCATGTCTTGGCAATTGTAAATAATGCTGCTATGAACATTGGGGTGTATGTATCTTTTCAAAGTAGTGTTTTTAGATTTTTGGATATATACCCAGGAATGGAATTGCTGGGTCAGATGGTAGTTCTATTTTTAGTTTTTTGAAGAACCCCCTCATACTGTTTTCTTCAGTGGCTGCACCAATTTACATTCCTACCAACAGTGTACCCTTTTCTCCACATCCTTGCCAACATTTGTTATTTGTAGACTTTTTGAAGAGAACCAAAACACGACTCTTTTAAAATTCTCTTCTAATCAAACACTGCCAGGCGAGACTAAAAAACTGTGAGGGAATATTCATCTGTAACATTATTTCCTGATCTTTTCAAAAATTTTGAGGTAGGAAGAAGTATAGTTGTGAAGCAGGTTGATTAGCTTGTTTGCAGCCAGTCCCTTAAAGTAGGAAGCCGGTTTAAACCTGTCCTGCCGGGACTAAATTAAGATTTTCCTGCCCAAGTGCCTTCCTTCCCAGTGCTCTTGGTCTCTGTAACACAGAGTGATTTACTTTAAAGCATTTATGCAGGGCTTTCCTGGTGGCGCAGTGGTTGAGAGTCCGCCTGCCGATGTAGGGGACACGGGTTCGTGCCCAGATCTGGGAGGATCCCACGTGCCGCGGAGCGGCTGGGCCCGTGAGCCATGGCCGCTGAGCCTGCGCGTCCGGAGCCTGTGCTCCGCAACGGAAGAGGCCACAAAAGTGAGAGGCCCGCGTACCGAAAAAAAAAAAAAAAAAAAAGCATTTATGCAAGTATTGAGGGCAAAGAGGTATTTTAATAATAATTATAGGGTTGATACTAATGTAGAAAAACATCATCAGGCATACATTTTCCTTCCTTTTCATTAAATCTCTGCCACTGCTTTTGGTCTTCTTAGTGCTCATCTGACTTACAGATTGGCCAATCTCCAGACCAAGATCCAGAAGGTACATTATGACAGTAGAAACCTGAGAGCACACCCCAATAAATCCTGCTCTCCAGCCATTTGCTTGGTCCCCAGCCTGCATCAGCAGTAGACAAATCCCAGCAAACAAGGGCTGTCCAAATTATCAGCACTCGTTTCATGGCCTGGATGGAAAAACAAAAGAGGTATGGGAGCCTATGAGGGAGAAAACCCAACCTATACCCTGTGTTTTAAAACTGGACCAATAAGAACTAGGGAACGGTTATTTTACCTGAATTTATTGCTTAGCAACAAAGGCTCTACCTCGAGAGAATGCTATTCTATGGGTTACCAAGTAACTGACTGTGACAATTACCAAACAGTTGGCTAAGTAATCTACATACCCTTTAACCTCTGCCAGCTGAACAAGGGACTGTGGGCAGCTCCCAAACAATAGACACACATTTAATATTTTATTGAAGAGCTGACAGAAGCCACAGCTGTATGGGTCCTGCAGCCACATAGATTTAACTATTTTAATTTGGACATCTGTCTTTCCAGGATCTGCTGTGCTCAAAGGGCTGTTGAAGCAGGGGAGACACCAGAAACAGTTTCTATCAGAAGACTACCTTGTAGAGCTTTGGGGGAAAATATTTCTTAAACACAAAGTGCAAAGTTTTGTTGAGAATGAAGGCCCCTCAAAGATAGTCATTTAGAGAAAGGCAAAACAAAATCTGGTGCTTCGCAGTTTCTTATTGATAAATGCTGAGTTGGCCTGGCTACAGAATATAACATGTACACAATTGATTAGAACCTTCCGGCACTCTTAGATGTAGACAAGTATCACCATTTTATGTTATTTAGTTATTTTTATTGCTCAAATATTCCCAGGTGGCCTTTATTTCACAAAATTATTTCCATTAAAATTATTTCCTATACCAGTTTTACTATATGATACTATTCAAATGAAAATCAATTGGCAAATTCACAAATTATACACTTTTAAGTCATTTCTTCTACTTTGAGGCTGTACACATCAGCCAGCATCAGTGCCAAAGACTGAGTCAGTGAATTCCTAATGCTCTTCCATTAACCTGGACGCAGACTTTCACGTTAGGTCAAGTATCCGTTATACCAAAGCAGATTCTGAATCATATGTCACCTGGCCCAGGTGGAGGCTTAGATTTTCTATGTTCTTGTGTGGTTTCCCCAGCCCATTACTAACTTAATTAGCCAGTCTCTGAAGACTGTGGCCTACATGGGATAAAGTCTACTGTCATGAAGGATGATGGAAACCCCCCCAAAAATCAAAAAATTTTAGGAAATAGGGTAAAAATGAGGAAAACTTCTGCATGAGACCTGTATTAATTTTCTGTTACCACAAACTTAGTGGCTTAAAACAACACAATTTTATCCCTTTACAACTCTACTCGTCTGAAGTCCAGTGGGCTAACCTTCAAAATGAAGGTGTCGGCCAGACTTTTTTCCTTCTGGAGGCTCTGGGGGGAATCAGTTTTCTTACCTTTTCCAGTTTCTAGAGGTCACCTGCATTCCTTGGTCTGTGGTCCCTTCATCTTGAAACGAGTGACAAGTTGTTGAGTGTTTCTTGTAAGTCTCTTCACTCTTTGTCTCCCTCTTGTACTTTTAATCCTGGATTATCTGGGTAGGCCCAGTCCAATCATGTTAAGTTCAGCTGATTAGCAACCTTAATTCCATCTGTTACCTTAGACTCCCTTTTGTTTTATATCACAACAAATTAACAGGTTCCAATGATTAGGACTTGGAAAGGGAGGGAGGGGCACGGGGGCATTATTCCAACCACAAATCTGAACAGTTCACGTTTGTAGAGCTGAACACACAATTTTTAAGGGCAGAACTGTGTCTATACGGCCCATACTTTTGATGGGCCGGTCTAGTTGCAGAAAGGTGGCCCCAGGGAGGGGCCTAGTAGGCTAAGGCAAAACAGCAGGAATCACCCCAAGGAATAAAGTGGTTAAGAATCACGAGGTCTGGGGAACAGCTGGATAAAGGCAGTTATAAGGAGGGAAGGACATTGCCATAGGAGGAGGGTCAGTCAGTGAGCAATTCCCAAGGGAGAAACAGCCAACAAGTTTGACAACAGGGTTGATACATATTCAACTAAGACCTTGGCTGTGCTTACATACCAGACCTCCCCCACCCACCTCTCCCAGATTCTGAGTAAAAATCCAAAAACCCGCCTTGTTCCAGTTGAGACAGGCTGTGTTTTACTCGGAGTCAACAAATGAAGACGACGTGGGAAATCACATCACAAAAACTTGCAGACAGCTTGAGGAGGGCCCGGGACGTGGGGGAAAAGGCAGAGGGGTGCCTCGAGACAATGTTTATTAATTTGCAAAAGGACAGAGGCCCAGCTAACATCAGGACTGCTGCAGGGCAGGAGCTGTCACTAGAGCAACAGTGGTCTGCACCTACGAGAGCAGCCGAGACAAGGCTAAGTTCAATCTGAGGACACTTGGCATCTTGCCGTCTTGGCTGCCCAGTCTTCTCTGCTTAGACCCTGCTTCAGGAACAGACTTTAATAAACCTTCCCAAGCCAAGTGGAACTCTTCAGCCACATTGAGCTAGAAAGTCAAAGCCTATCACACACAGACTGAAGATACTGAACAACAAGAGAGGAAAGGCCTAACCACCACACCCTAATGAGAGCTACCACTGTGGGGACAGGCTGGGGACAATCGCTCAGCCACCCTCCAGAATCACCCAGTAGGTGTCTGAGCACAATCCTTCCTGACAGCCGAGCAGGCCCAAACTGTAGTGTGATCTCTCAGCAAGATAAAAACGATTAGAGAGGGCTTCCCTCGTGGCACAGTGGTTGAGAGTACGCCTGCCGATGCAGGGGACACGGGTTCGTACCCCGGTCCAGGAGGATCCCACATGCTGC